ACGGACAACGACGGCGACGACGACGACGACGGCGACATCGACGACGACGGCAGAAGACGACAACGGCGGCGACGACAGGGGACGACAACGACGACGACGACAGACAACGACGACGACGACGACGACGACGACAGACGACGACGACGTCGACGACGACGATGACGATGACAGAAGTCGACGACGACAGAAGACGACCTCCAGACGTCTCCCAGAGGCCGATGAACCCTGCTCCCCGAAGGTTTTTTGTTGTTGAACATTATTACTTCTAAAGAATAATTATTGTTGGGACCCCTGGTGCATGGCCCCCCCGCCGCGCCTAGGCCGCAGCCTCATTTTCATCATTTTCGTGAGGAAATCTCAGGTAAAACGATGTCATCCAGATCCGGTTGTGTTGTTACGATCGGTTTTCCCTTGCAAAAAATAAGCTAAAGTGGACATTTCTTGTTCTAACATAACCAAACTTCAAGAATCCCTTGCAACAAATAAGGTAAGGTGGACATTCGCGCGCGCAAGACGAAATCCTTCCAAAACCTTAGTTTTCGTAGCGATTTTAACATAAAAACATCAAAAAACCAATGGTTTTTCAAAAATGTCAAAATTTCATCCCGCGCGCTCTTGCGGATTCGTAGGAAACCCAACACTTTTTAATCATTTATGTCAAACGGGCTTTTGCGAGCAACTTTTCCGAACTTCTGCAACAACGGTTGCGCACCTGCCAGGGCCATCATCCCTGTCAAATAATACCATGCGGGACACATTCGTTTTTTCTTCGCGCGCGCACGCCGTCGTCGTCGGCCGCGGGGCCCTGAATAGTAGCCACGGTCGTCCGCATGCCACGAAGTGAAGTGTCCGAACGTCATAGGGCGGGAAGCTGGGTGTGGGTGGTGGCGAAGAGTCGTTTGGAAATTTGGTAGAGCTTGAACCGGCCCCCCCACAAAGTGGGGGTATTGCCCGCCTCCTATGAAAACCCTGGCACTGGTGAGAACGGAGTGTCCCCACGTGCTAGTAATTGTTGTTGTTGTTGTTGTTGTTGTTGTTGTTGTTGTTGTTGTTGTTGTTGTTGTTGTTCCCCCTTCGCCCCGGATGAGATCTGGATTGCCCCGGGGCCCGCAGACGGCCGCCGAGGGAGGGGCGACGCATCCCCAGACCCCCGACGTCGTGGTTGCGTCGCATCGTCGACTCCCAGAGGTATGGACCCCTTCCGGGGATCCAGTGTTGGACCCCTTCCCGGGAGCCGCGTTTTCATCCTGAGCCGTTTTTTGGAGCTTGTTTCTGCTAGGCTCCAGCAAGCTTACTTGCGTGGACGGGGGGGGCGCTGAACCTGAAGCAAGCCGCAAACGACTTGCACGCGCGGAGGTCACACGAGTCGATGGGGACACTTGGCACGCCAGTTTTAGTTCGAGGAGAGGGGCGAGGGAGGGA